AAGAAAATGTTTAATGATTTGGTACTCAGAGGTTAATTCTTGTCTCTGAAATTCACTGAGACACAGACAATTTAATGTTGTCTCTGGATCAGGGGGAGTGTCACACAAGCAGGATCCCCTCACCCTTATCTTGGCTGCATGTATTGTATGTCTTCTATAAATATGATAGAGGGACTGTCATTATCATTTCTGCTTTATATGGGGACTGCCAAAAAATAAAAATTTTAAAATAGTGATCATAGGAGTTAATATTTTATTTGCTCTATTCTATTTTAGAAAATTGGCCCTAAAATGATTGTGAATAATTATTGAGAAAAAATGCCAATGATTTTGAAAATTATCATAAAGGTAAAACATACTATCCCCTAAATAGCTGGCATTTTAAATGCTTTTTCATCCATTCACCACACTAGTCATATTCTATTCTTCTTTAGGATGCCATGGAGAATTATTTTTAACTTTGGTTATGCAAATTTGAGTAATTTTATTTTTTAGCAGAAAATAAAAGTATTTGCAATTCATTAAGACAATTAGAGAACCTTAGTGTCAAAGGTCTCAGCATATGTGACAGCACTATTATTAGACTTTTTAAAAATATGATTATTAGGGGATAGTTATTATTTAGAATACATTAACAGTAGCAGAGACCTTTGAACTAATTATATGGTATTTTGTATTTTTGATATCTGTCTCTATATACATACTTATATTCCAAAGTCAGACTGTTCTTAACTTATTTTTGTTCATCTTCACCTCTCTACATTTTATTAATCAAATTTAAATTTAAATTTAATTAATAAAATTTAAAACTATCTCCATTAGAGACTTTACAAATTTGATAAATTAGGAATCAAAACATGAAAGATAGAGATGAAAATGTATCATGAATATGTACTAACACTTAAATAATTACTGTAAATTATACTCACATTTTCTTTTGTTGATCTGTGGCTTTCAAAACTGTTAGATAAGGAAAACTAAACTTCTGAGTTTTAATTGTGCAGAGTATACAGGATATATACATATATAATATATATTAACATATGATATAATATATATTAATATTTAGACTACAAATTTCCTAAATCTGGTTCCACCAAAAGAAATATAGACACTATTGGTAACTTTAGAAAGTCTCTTTTTCTGTTTATTTATTTTGTTTTTGCTTTAAATAGATGTCAGTATTCTTTCTCATAATTCTACAGCTTTGTTCAATGTCCTCCTAGAAAAAGAATTTTACTGTTTTTGGAATATTTTAAGCTCAGTATTTTAGGCTGATTTCTGATTTCCACAGAAAGAGTGGTCATTCAAGAATTATTATTATTCAGAATATATTAACAATAGTGTAAGACATTAAACACATCTCTATTGTATTAATATTAAAAGATATTATGAAATAGAAAGTAGTATGAAGAACTTCCATATGAATTGCACAGCCTCAGCAATCACCAGTATTTCATAAATTCTTTTATCTTATTTCCTATATCAAATAGTTTTTACTGCATGGTAACTTCTTAAAATCTAGAAACAGAACTTGTTCTGTTGATCAGGAGCTTGCCAATTTCCAAAAGTCAAGAGATAGCTTCTTAAAAGGAAAGATACAGTCTCCTGAAAGTGGGTGAACATAAGAATAGGAGATTACAACCAATCTACCATACTTTACCACTAAATACTTTAGAAATTATATTTTTATTTTCTAAATTTCCTGATTTTGTTTCTTTGTATAGAAGCATACAAGTTAACAATAGTCTTTAGATAAATACCATTAACACTAAGAAAATAACCACTACTATCAGAGCTTTACATGCATTTCATTTATTATTCTGTGCTATTATACGTGATTTCACTTAAAACTCATAAATATGCTATAGTACAGCACAATTTCATGCACTGATAGGGAGGAATATGAAAGGTCAGGTTAATTACCCGTGGCCATATATTAAGTCACCCTTAGAAGATACTGACCCATTTTCAACAATGTTTTTTGCTTTATATTACTTTTTCTTTTTGACCTGGCATTTGTTTAAGAGATTAAATAAAATTGACAAAGGCTAAGCTGGCTCATAGTTTCATTTCTGTGGGCAAAAGATGAATTTAATTAATGAAATAAATTGTACCTAGATTCGGCACTATGCAAGTTTTGTAAATATACAGTAGGCTTAACTATCATATAAGTGGCCATGGGTTTGATTCCTACTATCATCCTCCTAAAAATCACAAAAATCTCTGAGATCACCTTATAATACTGATGATATATTACAGGCCATGTTTAGAAAAAAACATAAAGAATTGTACTTCCTTATGGTTGCATTGAAAGTAATCCTATGATGTGTGCATGGTTGCCCACACATACGACAATATCACAAAGCCAGTGTTCTTTTAATTAGCACTCCTATTCACCCTGCTGCTGGAGATTGAAGCCAGTGGCTTAAGGCTGAACTACTTCCCCGGGTCTTTTTAATTTTTTAAAATTTATTTTAAAACAGGATCTCACTTTTAAGGTACCTAGGTGAGAATCAAACCTGCAATCTTCCTGACTCAGCTTACCAAAATTCTGGGATGACAAGTGGGCACTCTGCTTTTAATTCTTATACACTAGTCAAATTTAAGAAGCTCAGTCATCGGTGAAGGGTCAACTGTATCTTAACATCCTAAAATGCCTATTTTCCATTGACTCAGATGGCAAGGACAATCCGTACATTTTTAAGGAATGAATGAAGGGGTAGGATAATGTAAACCAACTTATTCAAATTCATAAAAATTAATTGACATTTTCTTTCCAAATATGTGTTAATATCGTTAATATAAGCTAGCTGACACCAGATTCATGTGCTAGGTTTCAAATGTTTCAGTATAGTTTGCTCTTAAATGTCAGCTCCATCCTGAGATATAATAATTGCTTTTGTCTCTGTAGTCTAGTATGAGGCATTTAAGCTCATTCTTTCAAGGAAGATAAATAGGGATATAATTTTATCGCTGTGTTACTGCTGCAAAACAGAATTACTCAACAACATGCCCTTTATACACTTGACAATGAAATGCAGGCTGACTTTCCTTTTCAGCTTCAAAACTATTTTGCGGCTTCATCACCTAATGAAATCTTCATAGTGGGAAGTCGCATTTTAGCTTTCAGTAACCACAGTCTTACAGTCTGTAAGCATGCATAAATCTCGTGTAAATTGAAGCTAATTTTTCCAGGAGATAAGGTCAGATGTAGAATTCACCATTGTCTGTATTCAAAACTGATGATGTTGTCAGTATTTGTTAGACCCATGAATGCATTTTGTATTCATTTTATAGTAGGGTTTTGAACTGGCTTCTTTTCACAGAATAAATTTCTTAGGTTAAGATCATATACTTAATATCATTGCAATTCCAAAGCCAGATCACCACTACTGAAGAATTAGTTTCTATGAGATATTGTTCTATAGCAGTTAGAGATCATTGAACTTGCCAGCCTAAATCAAGAGAGTAATTGAAGTTGAATCTGTCTTTATTTCAAGGTAGAAAGATGTATGAGATATTAATCTGGAAATATGGTCTCCTAATAGCAGCACAGTTTTAAAAGGCTTGCTTCTGACAAATAGAAGGCAACTCATTAGACACATATATGAGATGCTATTAAAGCAATCAGCATTGAATATTAATGAGACAGAATATGAAATGATAAATTGCAGGTAAGGAGTGATATGTAACTGTAAACAATGAATTTAGATGACTATTTTAAAACTATTTCAGAAGACAAAGGAGAAGAAATCTCCAAGGTCATGCCACTAATATTCTTTAGACTTTTCATATTCAAAAGAGATATATGGATTAGTGTCTCCCAACTTTGGACAAAGGAGAAGAGCTCAGTTTCTAAAGTTCAATCATTGTCTCATTTTTATAATTAAAGCAATGTTTTCTACAAATAATTTGCTTTATTAACCTAACTCATTTTGTCAAGAAATTGGGTGCCAATATTGTAATACATTTGAAAGTACTTAAAATTGCTCACATGATATGTCATTTTACCAAATCTTCTGAAGCAAATATGTATAATTTTTTCAATGCCAATTTTAAATAGATGGAAGTATTAAGAGCATAAAAAGTAAAGTTATACTGTTGTATTAATTTATAGTTTTGAGGAGGGGGAATTTAACACAAGGGAAATTTTTCCTTTGTGATCAGGGTATTCTCAAATTAAAAGTACAAATAAGACTGCTGTCACTTAAGATTACCAAAATTATAGCACAAAATAATAGTATTAGTTAGTACTTTAAATTTGACCAAAAGTACATACTTAGCAAAGAAAAAGGTCTTCAACTGCTACAACTGCAATTTGAGATAAAGTAAAAAGTAAAAAATAAATGGAATTAAATACAAATTTAGTACTTTCTCTCATGTCTGTATTCATCTTTTTCACTGTTTGTGACTGAACAAGTACAGTAACTGAACTAGGGCAAAGAAAATAAAATGATATATTTGAAAAAGTATCACATTTTGGAGTAAGTCATTTTAGTTTCATTTTTTAGAACATTAAAATAATGTGTATATATGTGTTTATTACAATGTTTATAAAAACAGTAAGAGAAATTGAAGAAAAAATTGTTTTTTACCATTTATTCTATTTCTGTAATCTTTGTAGCCCAGGCTGGCCTCAAGCTAATGGCAACTCTCCTGCCTCACCTTCCCAAAAGCTAGGATTACAGGTGTCAGCCTCTTCACCCTATGAAATTATCCTGGTGCTTGTTTACAATGAAGTGTATGCAAGAGTCTTCCAAATAAATCTCTATCAGCTTTCAAATGTAATTTCTAATATAACTAATTTGAAATGGTTTTTAGTTTATGATACACCATATACTTACTCTCTTGTATTTTAAATATAAGTGTGAAAACCTCATTGTATATTTGTGGAACTATTAGAGGCCATGTAAGCAAACAGAAAAATATGTTTAATTTCTGTTGTATTGACTTCTTAGAGTTTATCTGCTAATATACCTCCCTGTTTTTGTTTGCAGGTTCTTCGCATTTTCTTCAGCTTTAAATAAAAAGTAGGAGAAGACTGTAAGATTTTTCAGTCTTTCTGGGCTGTTTCCTCCCTGAAGAGCAATGGCAAAAATTTTAAGCGGAGAAAGAATAATTCTATCTCTAAGTTTTCTTTTGTTAAAATTGTTATCAGCAATTGAAATACCCCTCTCAGGTAAAGTGATAGTCTTCAATATCTACCATGGGATTTTGTTTTTGCATTTTCGGTAAAATATTTGTAGATTGAGAATATAGCTTTTAAAATTCTATTTTATGTATTCTCCATCAGTGTGTCATCACAAGTCATGTTTCCTCTACTTATCTTTTAGTGATTGATATTTACCTGTAATAATTATTTTGTAGCTGAGGCATTTAGATTCTTATGTAAAATTGGCCTATTGCAAGAAATATAATCTGTATAGCAGGTGATATTTCTGCAATACATCTAAAATAGTCTGAAATATTACAAATGGATTTTGATTTTATATGGTAGGGTCAGTTTGTTTGAAGGAAAATATAATTTAGAAGTTACTGCCCTTCAACAAACAGTGATAAGAAGGAATTGAATAAGCTTTGTATTCTTTTTCAAGAGGATTATTATAAAATAGCAAATAATCTTTTATACCTGCAAATATAAATTTACTGTTAATAGAATGCATTTATGTATTTTATAGTATAAGTGCCTATTAGGAGGTTAGTGTATGTGTGTGTGTGTATGTTATAAATTTTTATCAGACATGTTTACTAAATGTGTAGATAGTGATCTGAAAATTTCTTCTTGACGTAATCATACTTACTATAAATAGAAAATAAAATAGCTGTATGACTGTGTAATATTATCTATCATTTTCAATTACTTGATGTTGCAGTTCATACCACATATATACTTGTAGTTTTACACCTCACTGCCACCCAGTTAAGAATCCCTAGTCCATGGTTCCCAAAAGAGAATTAAACCTACTTTTTCCATTTCTTAAAGATTTGCACTTCTTTGTTCTGCAGGATGCAGATTTTAAATTGTCTACATATTTAAGAAGTCTATCAGTCTACATATACATTAGATTTTATCAATGACCAGCCCAGTTATGAACATTAGGAAGATCTATAAAAATCTCCTATTCTGTGGATTCTTTCATATAAGTATTAAATTCCAATTTAAAACCAGCAAAGATGCCACTGGACTTTCTCATTCAGTTTTCTAATCACATTCTCTAACAAATGCATTTTTTCACCATGTTTTCCCACTTGATCCTCAGTGGTGATGGATGTGAAATTTTGTATTAATCCACGGTGCACATTTTTATTCTGGTTGTCTCAGTGACTTATACATTTTCATGCTGCAATGCCCTTAGACAACAATTCTTATAAAATATTAATGACATATTTTCAGAACAACTGGATAGTATCCATTTATTTGAGTACTTTAGAGCACACACTAGCAAACGAGGCCAAGGCAGGTACCCAATTTGAATCTCAACGAGTATGGTATCTCTATAATTGAACTAATTATAGAGAGAAGGATTTATAGCATAGAATATATATTCATATAAATACCCAAAGGTTATTAACTCCATTCCCTGATTAATTAGCTACTGCTAAGCCTTTACAATTTTAGCAAATTCAAGGGAGAATAACATAATAAACAAGTTGTTTTGAGTTATTAGCTGATATCTTAGAGACTGCGGCCATTGTGTGTCATTCCTCACCATTTATAACTAATATAAATAAATGAATTTGCAACAATCTCAACCCTCAATGTACTTAGAAAAGGGATTAATCAGAGACAAGATAAATATCAATGAAGATGTGGGTATTTCCCGCATGTTGCTAGATTTTTTTGAATATCCATTGGCTAATGACTGAATTTACATAAATATCTGTAGTTAGTAATGCTCACCTATCTGGTTCAATAGACAAAATAAAGAAAATGGAATTTTAGAACTGGAAAGCAAACTTGATTATTATTCTCTATTTGCTATCAATGCTGAAAGTGTGGTTCATGGACTCTTTGAGGTCCTAGAGATACTGTACTTTCAGATGGTCCATGAGATCAACCTCTTTTGAAAATAGCACTAAAATGTGAGTGGTCCTTTACTTTCACTGTCATTTAAATGGAACTAGTGGGAAAACTCCCTGTTGTCCTAGTACAGGTCAAGGCTTTGGCGCAAAATGCATTGGTACTCAAAGCATTCTTTATAGCCATTTCTGATTGATGAAAACAACAAGAAGACAGAACAAACGGTTTTGCTAAGGTTGTAACTGCTGAAGTCATTAAACAATTTTAGCTTTTTGAATTCTCCACTTTTGAGTACATTTCTTCTAACATTGAAATGAACTAAAGGACACAAAATAACTCAGCTGTATTAAAGCACAATGATTGACGTTGCTCCGTGGTTGTGTCATTGCTTGAGACTCAGTACTATTTTTAGTTGAAAGTGTAAATGTCAGACATATTACAGTTGCTCAGATGTGTATCGGGCCGACACATTTCCCAAAATGAATCAGTCGACCCTATCACTTTCAGATAAATTGGCAATGTGTGCTGTCAATGATAAAATGTGAGTTTTTAAGCAAACATCAAAATTGTGGAAAATTTGTATCCCTTGCTGTGAGCTTGAGAGCTTTATGACATATAACTTCTCTGATAAGATCAGTGGTGGTTTTAACAAAAATGAATTTTTTTTATATTCTGTAATACAATGTGTCAATACATGAAGATCTGCATAATTCAGTGGGTCAATAAACTTTTGAAAGATGATCACTGTGAGTTGTTACAAGATATGCATAAGTTAAAAATGGATGGAATTATTTAATGTGACAAAGTATTAAAAGTTTATCGGTAGATTCCACACAACGAATATTTAACAAACCAGCATCGAGTGAACTTTGGTGCACTATCCAGAAAAAGATACCTAACAGTCATAAGGACTTCAGAAAATCCCACAGTTTTTCACTATGTATTTGTTTATGGCTGGTTACTTTCGATCTTCAGACAAATTAAATTACTACAACAGAAAGGAAGCAGATGAAGATATAAGAACTCAGCCTTCTCAAGAAATTAAAATTTCTAACAGTACAATGTAGTGCTACTTTTCTCAAGATATTTGTACATTTTGTAAATGTTATTATAACATAGAACATTTCAATGAATTCATAACTTAATATTCTAAATATTTTTATCTAATCTTTAATATAGTGAATATTGTTGTCTATAGCCCACACTAACACAGGCACTTTGGAATGCCTTATGATGAGAAATTAATGGAGTTCTAATCAAAATGCTTGAGAACCACATATCTATTCAGAACCCTAAATTTCACAAATGTGAGATCAGAGCGTGCGTCGGCCCATTCCCAACCTCACAGATTTTATACTCCCATTTATCACTTGACTACAGAATATTATTTCACTCAGGCTCTGGCCTGTCTCTTAACTGCATTTCTGAAAATATATTTGTGAAAGTCAGTTCCTGCTGCTAAAGAGTGTACATTTCTCCATAAATTCAACACCGTGATCTTATTAAAGTTTCTAACAAATGTACTGAAGAAAGTCTCAATTTTAAAATAAAATTGCTGAATGCTTATCCACAGTATATATTCCCATATAGTGTCTGTGTCGTATTTTAAGACAATCCAAATTGGTATTTTAATCTTAGTATTATTTATTTATTTATTTATTTATTTATTTATATTTTCATGCATTTATTGCACAAAGATGAGGGTCAGAAATGTGGCCTAGGTGGGAGACTAGATGAGAGATAAAGTTAATATCTACTACAAAAAATTTATTTAAAAATTAACTTTCCAAATATTATCAGTTCCATACAAAATGAAGGGGTACATGTATATGAAGATGCTATTTTTAAAAAACACTATTAGCTAGCTGTATTTTTGCTTGAATAATTATTTATAGGTTATAATTTATAAGGGAAAAATAAAATCACTCAAATTACCACATGTAGTGGGAACAGAAAAATGTGTAAATGGAAAATGACAAATACTCAAATTACTCATAAAAAAGTACTAACAAAAGCAATAAATGGAAATTGAGAACGATAATGGTATATTTTCTTCTGTAACAAACTGTACCTTATTATCACTTTTCCATGCTAGTGATTGGTGGTAGCAAACAGATCAGGAACCAGCGTAATCATGCACTGTTGTGGTAAATGTCCTGTGGTGAAATGATTGCAGCTTTTCTCAAGAATCATTGCTATTTTTTGCCATGCCAGAAACTGGGTAACTCCTACCTCAATAAAAGAAAACCTGCGTGCTCAAAGATACTGTTCTGAAATGTTACTGTAAAAGAAAGACATGGAAAAGTATCTAATTGCCAGTTATCAGAGAATTATCAAATAAATTATGTTAAAACAATGGGTAGAAACAATGTAAAAGCAACAAATTAATTATAATGTCTATATAGAAGCATGGAAAACTTTCACTTACAAAATTAATGACCTAAACAAAAATGTATATGCTTGTCAGCATAAACTAAAAGCCAATAATTACTATTATATTTTTTATTTTGAGTTTTTTCTGAGACAATGTCTCTCTGAATAGTTAAGGATGGACTTGTACTCCCTATCCAGCCCAAGCTGGCCTGGAACTTCAAGCAGTTGTTTTGCTTTACCTCTAGAGTGCTGAGATTACAAGCATGCACTCCTATGCCTGACCAAACACCACTGTTTTGTTTTGTTTGGTTTGGTTTGGTTTTTAGAGCGAAACAGAAAAAAGAATGGAAATAACACAGAATTTTAAAAAACAGTAGAAATCAACACTAGTTAATGTATTGTTCTCTTAGTAGTAGTTGCTCAGGTTACAAGTTGTAAGCATAAAAAATAATCAAACAACAGCAGCACAAATTGCTCTTTTGATGAGCTAACGGGATTAGTAGTATAGTTATCTATCTTGAACACTACATACAGTTTTACGTGTATAGCTACATACATATAATCTTTTAGTTTCTTTCATTTTTCCTTTCCCCTATCCCAGTTGTTCTTTCCTTGTAAACACTTTCTTTCCCTTTCATTATTACAATATCCATTATACATTTTGGATATTATTACTCTTTCAGTTCTTTAACAGACTATTTTTAAAATGTGATAAGATTTTTTTCTGTTTATGAATTGCTACATGACTTGAGGTTAAATAAAATTAAGATGGTGGCGTGAAATGATGCCAAGGAAATAAAGTAAAATATGTTTTGCAAAGAGAAAATCAGATTTGTTCTGTGATTTTCAGTCTTGTATGAACTTTATAATTACCAATACAGAAAGTGCATTTAAGTTGTGTTATAGGCTAATAAACCTTGTTCAGTTTTTGAAAGGCTTGTTCTTGAAGTGTGTCTTTTAACATTTAGTTCCACAGGTTCCAACAATCACAAAACAGTCAAAAGTGCAAGTTGCCTTTCCCTTTGATGAATATTTTCAAATAGAATGTGAAGCCAAAGGAAATCCAGAGCCAGTGTGAGTATTGTTTCCAATTGAACAGTTCTTTAAATGTATGCTGTCCTCCATCCTACTCTTCTTCAGTCTTAACTATCACAGACTGATGGTGCTACAAAATTACATAGGATTGAACATTAAGATTTCCAAGTAAAATTATGTCTATTAAAATAAAGCTTGGTTATTTTACATGTTACAAGACTTTTTAAATTACCATCCACAGAATCGAGATGCTGAAAATGCAGTGGGAATTTAACTGTGTGTATTTTTTCCTAGTATAAAATTCTGCAATATTTACCAAAAACTTTAAAAAATTGTTTTACTATCTGGAAGCTGACCTTATTTCTAAGGAATTGGCCTAAAGGAATATTTGAATAAGTATTAATGAAAACATATAGGATTTTTAAAAATCAATTAAAAGGAAAATGCTGACATGGATAAGCAAATAAAATCATTACACGGTATAGGATAATATTTGCATAAAAATTGTTTAGTACCCATGTGAAACTGAAACAATTCAATTCAATTGGCAAAGTTGTTAAATTACCATGGCTTTATTTATTTATTTTTTAGTTTTTCTTCTTTTGTACCAGGGATCAATCTCCTTGACCTCCCAGCTTGCCAAACAGATGCCGCTGAGTTACAATATTTTCAATATATGACATATAAGTATAAAAGTGCTACTAAGAAACATAAGCAAGTAATGACATTTGATTTTTTTCTTAATTTTGAATATGCTCATTATACACACACAGTCATATTATACATTAATTTCTTTTGCAGTCTCTCTTTTTTGCCATCGCTAAAATATTAATAATCCACATGGCATTTCTCATTGGAAACATTTTTAAATAATTTTAATTTAAAAGAAACAGAACAAAACCTACCTTTAGTTTTGCTCTCTTGGTGGTCAATAAATTTTTATGGTTTATAAGATTTCTTAGATTCTTATGAGATCATTACTTGTATCCTATTACCTTTCACTGTATACTTTATTAATGTCTTGGTATTGTATAACTGTATAAACACATTGAAAAACTGAGAAACAGTCTATGATTTCTTAGGATTACTGTTTATTTTTATCTTACAGATTTTCATGGACTAAGGATGATAAGCCTTTTGATCTTTCTGGTGCTCCTATAATTGCATCTAATAATTCAGGAACATTCAAGATTCCAAATGAGGGACACATATCTCATTTTCAAGGGAAATATCGCTGTTTTGCTTCTAATAAGCTAGGAGTTGCTATGTCAGAAGAAATAGAATTTATAGTTCCAAGTAAGTGTTACAATGGGGATGTCATTTGACAACTATTTTTAATGAAACTTTAAGCAAGTATTATGGAGGGTTCTGATGAAATAAATCATTATTAATTTTTATCACTTTATATCCATCTTTTTGTACCCTTATATCTAACCCAGGGAAGATATGATCTTCTTTCCCTTACATGATGAGAATTAGATTAAATGTATTATTAGTTAGATTCAGCTAAACTAATCAGCAGTGATAGATAATGCTAATGTCCCTGGGTCAACACAAAGCTACTTTTGATGATAAGGTAAGCTGTGGTCTGGCAGTCTTCTGGGAACTCTTCATGCAACTTTATTGGTGATTCCAGGTGATGGAGTCACCATCAACTTTGGGTTCTATCATATGACACACACTCCTGTGCAAAAACTCTGAGACACAGAGCATAAACAACTGCACAGAGGCTCATAAATGCTTCTAATGATGAATTACCAGGAACTTTGTACTCCTATTGTTAGATGTAACAATACAACTTGTATTGTCTCACTTAATTTAAATAATGTGTGCCCACTAGGAGAGGAGAATGAGCTACCAGTAATTTGCACTAGAAATAAAAAATCACATAAAGCACTTTGCTGTTAACTATGTACTGACTGACAACTGTTGGCAAGTTTAATTTACTTATTTATTAACATATTTTGCATATGTGGTAAGATAATGATAGCTATATTTAGTATTTGCTTATTTACTTTCATTGTCTCATTGCTAAGTTTCCTAACTTTATACGATTCTAAGCAAAAGATTCACAGGGGAAATTCTTACAAATAAAATGTTGGTAGGGTGCATTCAACAGTTTCCTCTTGTACAGTCCTAGAAACTGCATTAAAAGGGAGAAAGTCTTAGAGGTGGGAGAACATAGGTACTTGTGTTTCGGGCAGGGCCAGAATATATACTAACTTTAGAGGAACAGAAGGTAAAGCACATTTTCCTTGAAGTTTGGTGATGGAACTGTATTTAAGTTGTAAAAACTGTATATAATTGTGGATAAGAGACCATTGATTCTTTATACTCCTATAACTAAAGTATGTGTCTTAAGATTCATAACTATGATAAAAATATGGAAAAGGTGAATAATTATCAAACTATGTAGTATACTGAATCAGAAATAAAGTAAGAAAGTGGGACAAAAAGAAAAGTTAGACAAGCAGAAAGATAAAAATCCAAAAATAAATGTTAATATGTGTCAAATTAAAGACAAAAAATAAGTAAAATAAATGTTCCAAAAATTTTAAATGGTATAAACTACAAAACAACTTATCTAAGTCATGTGAATAGAGAAATATTGAAACTAAAAGGATGAGAAAATATCTTAGATAAGTATTATCCAAAGGAAGGCAAGATAATACCAGTCAAAATACATTTATCTTAAAACATCTTCTTGGAGATTAATTCAATAGGCATTTATAATATGTAGTGTGGGAAGCAAAAATATGGAGAGAAACAGATCTGCCATTATAATGAGAGAGACTAGCATATCTCTTTCATTGTTGGTAACTCAAGTAAAGAAAAGCATCTATAAATCCATAAGATTTAAATAACTTATTAGCTCCTGCTAATAAAAATGTATAGAATGCTGTATCTGTAAGTATAAAATGCATTTGTCATGCATATGAGATGAAAATTTGTATTTGATGACATACTGAGTTGTGAAGAAAATATCAAAATGGAATGAAGTCAGAAATCAGTAATAAAGCATAACTAAAATGGCTTATATCTTTGAAAGCTAACCAATTATTTTTAATTCATAGATCAAATAACACATGATAAGAGAGAAGAAAATTTTGAAGTGGTGAAACTGCAAATTCTGGGTAACAAAATATGTGTGACAAAGCAACAGCATGATTTAGAAGACTACTTATTATACTAAAAATTTACATAAGAAAAGATGAAAGTGTGAAAATAATTGATGCAATATTAATAAGTAACATAATCTTACGGTGAATACTAATGACAGAAAGTTATAGAACAAAGTGAAGGATAAAACAATACAGAAGCAGAAAATAAATTCAACAGAATGATTTGAAACACATAATAAAAGCATAAAAATGTGTTCAACATCATCAATAACAAGAAATGGCACAATGGTAACCTAAATAACAAAGGAATTTGATACTTTATTTTTGGAAAATATCACAGGAAGTCAGAGAATAACAATTCTACATGAAAATTCACTTTTTTTCACCACTACTGAGTGGATAGTTTACTGCTTTATTTTCTTCTCACCTTTTTAAATATGTGCTCGGCTGTGACCCATCAATTCCAGTCTCCTGCCTAGATAGACATGTCCCCGTCCGCATGCTCCAGGATTATTTGTGGCAGCGCTGTTAGTATTTAAAAAATGTACTGAGGGAAATTCAGAATTCCAGTCCATAGTAGAATGGGTAAGCTGGGGTTTATTTATTCAGAAATTACTAGTTAGGAGTGAGAAGAACCTCAGAAATATATCGAACTATAAAAGCAAACTTTGGAGAAATACATAAAGCATGGTTTTATTTACATAAATTAATATAAGTGAAACTCAGTACAATATTGATTAAGTATAACTTTACGTGTTAATATTTTAGTGAAAACTAGGAGAAAGATCAACACATATTCAGGATGGTAATTACCTCTATTGAAGAGGGAAGGGCTGGGTTGGCAGAAGGTAGAAATGTCATGATGATGTTCTTTGTGCAAAAAGTCTGGTGCATCAATAGGTTTCTTTGTATTCTTCAACACGAGTGTTTTATGTTCTCAAAATGAGTAAGCACATGGCACGGTGATTTATCTGAAATAGGTGTTCTGTGTTATTGGCCTGTCATAGCAACTGTAAAGTACAGAGCAGTGACATGTGTACTTGGAAAGTGACTTCAAGATTTTAAATTTTAAGTGATGTTCAATTGGAAATGTCCATGAATTCTGGATCAGAAAACATCATCCTGAAAACTGTAGCTAAGAATCATGCGACTATATTATCTATATAATCGGTCATTGATGTCTGTGGGAATTTCTGTACACTCAACCAACTTCACTGAAAAAGTTTCAAGATGAAAAGTGTAACTATACTGAATGTGTTTATACTTTCTAATCAGTACAGTACAACTGTTCAGATAGTGTTTACTGTTTACATTTTATTATGTGTTACACATATTTTAGAGATGAAGTATATGGGATAGTGTGTGTAGATTATATGCAAATATTGTTTTTCATATAAAGGACTTGAGTGTCACAAATTTAGCTATCCATGGTGGAGGTGCCAGAACCGATTCCACAAATATACCTAAGAACAACTCTATATGTGTATGTACCTATGTATGTGCATACATATATAACATGATATATATATATATGTATATATATATAATTTAATATAAATACATATATTTAACTAAAATAAAATTATGAGCGAGAAAGAGAGAGAGAGGGAGAAAGGAAAACAGGGATTAAATATCTGTTGCAGAAGACATGGCATTATAATGATCCCTAACCTGAAGTCTAGTGGTTGCTATGGAAACACAAAGGAAAAGGCAAGTAGCTAGATCTATTGCAGGAAAAGAAACGGCACAACTCAATATAAAATCCCAAAATACTTCAGAACATTTTCTCTTGTTACCCCGACAGAATAAGTGAAGACAGAAACAATACAAGGGTAATTCTGGCCACAGTTAAATACTATTGAAATTAATAGATAGATGCGAGTTAAATCTAAATCATGTAGCAGGTAATTGCTTTGTTTTTCTGCTACTACAGAGAAGAGTAAAATAATTTTAGGTTTCTTATGCATCATTTCCAGTCTTTCCTGGAATTATTTCATCACCTGACAGCTTTCTGTAGTCATCTATATCTACAAGTTGCACAAGGTGATCACTCCAATCCTCAGGAGTATATATATCAGAGACCATTTAAAGCTTCCTACATCCTTTACCGATTGATTTTTCTCTTAAGCTGTAGAGCATTGATTCTTCTTTTATACTGACAGAAACCTAGTGATTTGAGGTTTAGTTTTAACTCTCAGTTCTTGTAATTGCTGTAAAGGAAAAAGTTATATGTAGTTTTTATTTTTTTTTATTTTCAACATAATTATAATTAAGTTCACCAGAGAAAGAGTGAAAATAAAAACCACAAACCATCCAACAAAATGTGCTATTTTACAAATACATGAAATTTAATCAGTGAATTAGTCAAGGCTTAATTAAAAAGCCTTCATGTGTCAGCATTTTCTAGTTGTGTTAGTCAGCTTTCCATCTCTATAAAAAAAAAAAAATAGTGAGATAACCCAGTTACAAAGAGATCTGTTGGTCTTCTGGTCATTTGTGGGATGTCTTCATTGCTTTGAACACACAATGAGGCAGACATCACAGTGGGAGTGTGTGAAGGAAGGAAACCTCCTTGCCCAATGAGCCAGGGAGCCAAGAGAAAGGTGCTGGGGAACGTTCTACAGTCCTGCTCAAGGGCATGTCCCTTGTAATCCATGTTGCGCCCATAGCTGCAACTCTCCAAAGTTCAGTGCCTCGCAAAGCTGCCATTGAAATTATGGGCCTCTGGGGCCCTTTTCCAAACTTTACCAGTAACAATTTGGGATATAACAGTGGATAAATAAAAGGTTGTCCTTCTGAAATTTAAATCCTGTAGATACTGCTAGTGAATCTTGGGGAATAGAAGCTATTTGGTTATCGTCAGTATATTGACACAATTAAAATGATAATACAATAATTCTTTTACTTTGACAGTTCAATACTACAAAATCTTCATGCTGCAGATCTCCTTTCATCTAGATGTTATAGTTTTAAGTATTTTAAGTCAGTGAGTTTTTTATTAAATTTGTAGCAGAGTCTCTTCATAATTTAGTGTTAGAACAACGTTTGCGTCCTTTGGCAGTCCCTGTCTTCCCACCCACCACTATAGAAAAGCACCAACTGTATTTCTGCCTACATGAAATGTACAAAAGTACATTTAATGCAAAAGGAATAATTTGATTTATAGTCATTTCC